AACGATTTACGCGAACATGGTAAATAGAAAAACAACACCTACATACAATTATTTCCTCATAAAAACAACAAAGATAAAACTTGGAAATGAAATAAATGCTTTTGAAATTAAAGGCGCTCTAAGGGAGACTTTTGGTCCAAACTATAGCAGTAGCATAATGAAATTGCAGAAGGAAATACAACGAAAGATGAAATGAATACAAACTTGAAATTCATACAAAGGCATAATTCTAAGTGCAATTTGTTGTAAAATAAATTTTGGATCATTTGCAAAGTGTTACAAATCATATTATGTATGACTAAACACACTAAATTAACAGTTGAGAACTTCTAAAATCGCAAAAAAGAACCAAAGCTGGTGTAGAAAACTATTGGAAATTGCCTGGTCGTGGGCATGTCGAGAGTCATGGGTCATGACGGACTGCCCATCATAGTTTTCGATTCTGAAAAGTGAAATTCCACAAAAGTCTTAAACATATCAAGAGCTTTTTGTTTCATTCTTATTAAAATAATTTTCAATTTCATTCATAAAAATTTTAAACACATCAATTTTATTTACAAAAGTGATGGTGTACAAATCTACCCTAATGATTGACTAAACCTTGCCTTATTCAAAAGAAACTCAGAAACAAGACTCTTTAAAATCTTAAAGACATGCATGACATCATTCAAAATCAAAGTATTTCTAGAGGTGAACTTCAGCTGCACATCTCCAATCTGAGCAACATTTGTGGTGTGTGAAACTCCCAGTAACAATTTTATCTTCAGTATTCATGTATGTTTTGAACATTGCACAATCATAACAGACATGAAGAGATACACAATGTATATCCACCAACCATCAATACCACCAATCATGTTGATTTAAGTTATCATAACAATAAATTTCCCATCAATCATGTTAGCATGTGCATTAAGAGAAGCAACTAGATTAAGCTTGTACTTATATTTTTTAGCCATGTGACACGATTTTCCATAATTCTAGCAAGAGAAAACACCAACGTCATATATTTGAGGTGGTATTGTTTCCTAGAAAGTGTGGACCTTGAAGGATTCCTATTCTTAATTCGGTTCACAATATTGTGATTCTTATTCTTTAATGGTTTTTCAAATGGCTTCAGATCTACACCAGATTTCTTTTTATTATTTTAAACAACCAAGACTTTTCCTTTTTGATCTTTTCTCAAAGATTCTTCTTCAAACTAAAGGTGAATAATGAGAATCTTAATTGAATTTTTTATGGCAAAGCAAATTTTAAAATCTTTCAAACCATGGCCATTTTGTCAATAATAAAAGCAATTTGAAATTGTTTATCTAAAGGCATACCTTCATTGATGATCTAGAGATAAATGCTTTGAAGTTTGTGACATTCAACCTTCATAGAACTATCATCTACCATATGATATTCTAGGTAGTGACTCACAACATACTTCTTTGTTCCACCCTCTTAAATATTATACTTCTTTTTCAGAGGTTCCCAAACATGTTTTTCAGTATTACAACTACTATAATAATCAAATAGATCATATGTAAGTTCATTCACAATATGATTTTTGCACAGATAACCATTCTCTTTCCATAAGTATAATTCGTTTCTCAATTGTAAATCCTTTTCTTTAACCTGCACAACAAATTTAAATTCATCAAATTTGATGGTTCTATATGAAATCCATAGATTTCTTACTCTAAGTTTGCTTGTTTGATCCATAAAAAACAACAGGAATGACATCAGTCAAAATGTTAGAAATCTTTTTAAGGTTAAGAAAAATTGCATTTTTGTGGCTAAAGTTTAAAATGATTTCCCTTCAACTTAAACAGTTTTTAAGAGACAACAACAAAAGTACTAATAATTTCTTCGATAGACATACCAGTTTGAAAACCTCTTAAAATTGTTGTTTTTTATTTAAAAAATAGATTTTGAAAATTGTCAAAGAAGAAATGACTAGGACGAGTCGTAGGTCACTCTCTTTAAGACGTTTCATAGTATTGACTAAAATTATGCAAGGCAGACTATCAACCACGACGCCTCCAGGATAAAACAACTCAATTCTCAAATGTACAATTACTATTGCATAGTAGATAATCGGTCTAGAAATACACCCTAGGGTACAGAGACCACTCTAAATAATTTCTTAGACGAGGAGAAATTCGAATATTTCTCCGAAGATAATTCAATAATGGTTGTTTGACCACCTTAAATAATTTCTCAAACAACGAGAAACTCAAATAATTCTCCAAAGTGAATACAAAATAATTTTCAAAAGAGAATCCAAGGAAATATTGGGAAATTATGAAGATCTATGTGCTTCCAGATATAAAGTTGATGATCATGCTAACAACCTTCCTGGTGTTTTGATTATGACAACACTATGAATGCTGAAGTCAGTGGTGATATCTTTCCAAATCTTTGATGATGGTGATTGACTTGAAGATATCTCAAGGCACATCAAGTAGACAAGTTAAGGTTCCAGTAAAGTACTTATATGAGCGGTACATTTGGCAAATAAACTTTAAAGCTTCAAAGTTGTGAAAGAAAGGAAATATGAAAGCTCGCATAGTCGTGTTTGTCTAAGTGACTAAAGTCGTGTAAAAGTAGGATATAAACTTTTAAAATACTAAGTCAAATCAGACACACTTAAAATACTTCTAAGACATCTCTTTATATAACAAAATCACTTAAAAACGATTTTAAGGTCTAGTCAGCTTATTAGAGGAATGTCTGTTTGATTTATGACAATTTTTTGAACTGTCTAATCGATTACCTGATGCCCAATCGATTAAGCTTGTAAAATCTCTACTCGATTCATGAGTTCATCCTATGAAAAATAACTCTTTTAGTTAGGGGGATAAGTAAGTGCAAAATCTCTCGATTTGTTTGTTTCAAAGGTTCGTGGGCATAACTTGTAAACACTCAATTTTATAGTGAAATCTCAAAAAGATTTTTTAGAGACAAGACTAAGCCGAAGTTCAAGCGAACCTGGATAATTCTCTAGTGTCATCTCTCTAACCCTTATCTTTTAAATTATTATTATTTACATTACTTTTTTATTTTCTGTTGCTTTTCTATCTGATCTTAAAAATACTAGCACAATTTGTTTCTTAAGTAATAAAACCTTTAAATTAATCGTGAATTTTAAATATCATAATTCACTTCTCCTCTCGTGCTTGAAGTCATTTTTCCAATAAATTCAATGAGTAGAAAGAAAAGAAAAGAAATTATTGTTTCGACAATTCAAGAAAGCAGAAGAAGCGTGAGGAAGAAAAACTCTAAAATAATTTTTTTTGTATTTTGGAATGAAAGATGTGCATTTATTATGTAATAAAGTAAATTAAAAAAAATTGTAATCTAAACCATGTGAGACTTAAGTTTATTTTTTTTGTTTTTTTCTTATATAATGTTAAAACTAACTTTAGTGTGTAGAGGAAACAACACGAGACATAGAGTTTTCTCAATTAACATGTCAAACACATAATCTTTTAACAATGTTAGACTTAAAGATTTTTTTCTTCAAATTCATCTATATATTAAAATTTAAACATGTTACAACCGTCTCTCACTTAAATTAAAAAAATATTTCAAAAATAATATCAAATATTTTTAAAATTGTACATAAACAGTGATATCTACAACTTCAACTTTTATGCAGCAAATAAGATTTAAATTTAACAATGTGAAATTTAAGAATTTTTTCTTCTTCAAATTCATCCATATATTAGTAATATTTATTTAAACAAGTTCCAAGTTAGTTTGATGGATTGAATGATATCACAAAAGTTTGAACTTTAATATTCACTCTTCTGTGTAAGTGAATTTATAGTAATTTTGATTCAATTGTTTATAAAATATATATGTTCATACTATATTTCATCTAATATAAGATTGCCTCGAAAATAAAATAGAGTAAATATACTCTTTCAGTCATAATTTATATGATATTTTAGATATTTTTCACAACATAATAAACATAATTAATTTTGTATGGAAAAGAATATATGATTTTACGACAATATCTTTTTATTAATTATTAAAAAAGAAATTACTAAAGTTGAAAAAAGATATATTACTAAAATTTCATTATAGAAATTATAAAATAATTTATAATTTATAATTAATTTGTTTTTGCAAATGACTTTATAATTTGATACGGGAGTATTATATATATATATATATATATATATATATATATATATATATATATATATATATATATATATATATATATATATATATATATATATATATATATATATATATATATATATATATATATATATATATATATATATATATATATATATATATATATATATATATATATATATATATATATATATATATATATATATATATATATATATATATATATATATATATATATATATATATATATATATATACTCTTTTGAATCCATGATATTTCATGTATTTAATTATATAAAATAGATTTTTGATTAATTGACTAATTAATTAAAAAAAACAATTTAATGCAAGAATCTTACATACCCCCTCATGTAGAAGACTGGTTGGTGGTCTAACTAATCATAAGTAGAATTTAAATTGAACCTAATCTAAGGTGATGATAATCCCCCCTTATCTCAATTCAATATGAGATTGTTAAACAAAGTGAACTTAGATTAAAATATTGAGACCTAAACATCAATTAACTCACTCTAAATTAATTAATATGACATATAACTATATAGTAGATGTACTAATAATTCAAACCCTAATGAAAACACAGAGAGAGAGAGAGATACATGTATTAATTATTGACTGAAAAAAAGTACGATAGGTAGTTGGGTATCCTAATAGCAAATGGCCCACACTTGTCATAATAATAATGACACATTATACCAATATCTTAATTTTGCTTAAGGATTATACTATGAGTCATGTCCATTTCTTATTATTTATATTTCTTCTTCACACACACAAAACAAGACCAACCAGAAGAAGCCACTTAGAGGTTTCAAACCAGAGTGAGTGTTCTTCTTTGCCCAATGGCATCACTTGGTGCTGCCAAATTCCTCCTATGCTTCTCAATAATATGCCTCATCAACTTCCTACCTCTATGCCAAGGTTTTTTCTCCCACCTTCTATGCATTATTATTTGTCATACTTTTATAACTGTTTTTGGTGGAACGTATATGTGTCTCTCATTGTAAGGTTTTTTTTCTGTCCAATGTTTTTGGAACTAGAAAATGTTGTACATGTGCCACAAATCTATGGAGTTTTACTTCAACAAAATGTACATAAATAAAAGACATGAATCATCATTAAATCTAAGATAAAAATCAATTTGTCTGTTTTTGAAACAAATTCAACAGTGATTTATGTTTAAATACATTTTAAATATTACTTTTCTGTCTCTCTAATGAATATATTATTTTTCTTCTTTGTAATTTAATTTATATCACCCCGTTTTTAGTTAAGTATGCTTTATCACGAGGTATTAGTTTAGTCGCAAAAGTTTGATTATTATGAGGTATTAGTTTAGTCGCAAAAGTTTGATAGGGAGTACAATTTATCACAAATTTGAACTCGAAATCGAAATCTCACAACTATGTATGTCTTTTTGAATAAAATTTTTGTAGATTTTTTTATGTCTAGGTTGATTGAAAAGTAATAAAAAGTTTTGAAATTTGTTTGCAGGTAAAGAGAAGTGGAAAAATAGTAATGAATATAAGTATCGATTTATAAGAAAAGCAAGTTCATTTGAATCTCCACCTTCGGTTTCAACGAGCAACACAAATAATGGGTATGACTACATAATAGTAGGTGGTGGAACAGCAGGGTGTCCTTTAGCTGCAACACTTTCAAAGAAATTCAATGTTTTGTTACTTGAAAGAGGGGGCGTCCCTTTCACAAATCCTAATGTCTCATTTCTTGACAACTTTCATATTACATTGGCTGATACTTCACCAACCTCAGCTTCACAATTCTTCATGTCAACTGATGGAGTTTTCAATGCAAGAGCTAGGGTTTTGGGTGGTGGTAGCTCCATTAATGCTGGCTTCTACACTAGAGCAAGCTCAAGGTAAGGTATCTTAGTATTATTGTTGTTGTTGTAGGGGGACATGAAATGGTATCTACTATATTAATAACATTTATTTATGATTATGTTTATAAGTTCTCACACATCATTACTTGTGGTCCTTCGTTGCCCTCTATTATAAGGGCATGAAAGTCATTAGGTGCAAGTGTAGGATCTATGGCCCATTTCATTAATTTTGGATGTTTAAATGCAGATTCATAGAGAAAATGGGGTGGGATGCAAAGCTAGTAAACGAGTCATATCCTTGGATTGAAAAGCAGATTGTTCATCGTCCAACATTTTCACATTGGCAAAGAGCATTAAGAGATGGTCTTCTAGATGCTGGTGTGTCACCTTTTAATGGATTCACCTATGAACATAAATATGGAACCAAAGTTGGTGGAACCATTTTCGACAGATTCGGTCGACGCCACACTGCTGCTGAATTGCTTTCTTCTGGAAATCCTAACAAACTCACTGTTTTGATCTATGCTACTGTCCAAAACATTGTTTTTGATACAACAGGTAAACACATTCTTGCATATATGTTGAAATGAATTGGTTTCATCATTCTTGATAATGTAACTGTATATGTTTGTTGTTGCAGGAAAAAGGCCTAGAGCTATTGGAGTAAATTTCAAGGATGAAAATGGGAAAATGCATAAGGCAATACTAGGAAATGATATGCGAAGTGATGTGATTGTAACGAGCGGTGCGATTGGGACACCTCAAATGCTATTGCTTAGTGGAATTGGTCCGAGACAAGAACTCGAGAAGTTGAAGATTTCTGTGGTGCTTGATAACAGATTTGTCGGGAAGGGTATGGCTGATAACCCGATGAACACGATATTCGTTCCTCTTAAGAAACCGGTTAAGCAGTCGTTGATAGAAACAGTTGGTATTACTGATAAGGGTGTGTATATTGAAGCTAGCTGTGGGTTTGGACAGACCAATGAAAGCATTCATTGTCATCATGGTTTGTTGTCTGCTGAGGTATGTATGTCATTACTTAATTTAGTTTTGTAGTTAGAGTCTCTGTAACACTGACACCTCTGGAAAAAATGCATGTCTGTGTCAGTGTTGATGTTTGAAACAAAAACTGACACTTGTAGTTACGTTTAATTACTCATTTTTTTCAAATTATTATAGGTATCAACGTGACAGTGTCTATATCGTGTTTGTAGTATATGTGCTTTATAAGTTAGAATTGATATTGAACAATGTGGCATGGTGTTATGATAAACCAGATTGGCCAGCTTTCAACGATTCCACCAAAGCAGAGAACGACCGAAGCGGTTAAAGCTTTTGCGAAGAACAAAAGAGACATTCCAATTGAAGCATTCAAAGGAGGCTTTATCTTATCAAAAGTTGCCAATCCATGGTCAACAGGTGAACTCAGATTGATCAACACAAATGTGGAAGACAACCCTTCTGTTTCCTTCAACTACTTTAGTCATCCTTACGATCTTAATCGCTGCGTCGAAGGAATCCGATTAGCCTCAAAAGTTGTTCAGTCAAAGCACTTCACAAACCTCACTTTGTGTGACAGACAAACTACAGAACAGTTTCTTAACAACACTGTGAAGGCTAATGTTAACCTTATACCAAAGCATGTCAATGACACAGAATCACTTGAACAGTTTTGTAGAGACACTGTGATCACTATTTGGCATTACCACGGTGGATGCCATGTTGGGAAGGTTATCGACTCAGATCATAAGGTTCTCGGTGTTAACAGGCTCCGTGTCGTAGATGGCTCGACGTTTACCGAGTCGCCAGGAACCAATCCTCAAGCTACTGTCATGATGATGGGCAGGTATGTACAACGGGCTTACCGAAACAACGATGACTCCATTTAATAATGATCATTACCTATTGCATGCTAATAGAATATGTGTGTTTGTGACAGGTACATGGGAGTGAAGATGTTAAGAGAAAGGTTGGGGAAATTTGCTGGTGTTTAAGGACAAGTATGTAATGTGACATTTTAGGATCATGTCAAGAAAATGAAAAGAACAAAAAAATGTGTTAGGAGAAGACTAGATCATTATTTGTTTGACTTGAATTAGTGTATCTTGTTTTTTTGTTAATCATGAGTGAAGAGTGATTATTGAATAATCAAGAAATTTTTTGTGTTTAGAAGTAAATGTAATGTAACTCTTGATGGAATTGCATGATTGAACTTTGATCCATGTATTTGTAATAGTGTATTGTAGTCTTGACATTATTAGTCTGGTCTTTATATTATTGCATTCTTGGTCCTTAGAGGCTCTATGTTTTGTTTCTTTTGGCCTTTGGTCCCATTTACTCATCAAAAGGTTTGGTAGAAATTAAGAATAGAATTTCCAAAAGTGGTTGCTAACATTCATCAACTGTGACTTTGCTTCATTTTACACTGCCATCAGGTACATGCACAGACTATGCAACAAGTTTGTTTCTCTTTGCAATTAAACATGCTCGTTACTTAATTATATTCATGTTTGACAAATCATAGACAAAAATTAGTTTTTAGTTTCAATCATCTTTGACTAAATTTTACATATCTTTCTAGCAAATTTCAATATTAATGTTCTTTTCTTTAGAAATCACATGGTTAATGACAATAAGAAAAGACCAAATACTTGAAACATTGGGAACCTCATATCCAAAATTAAGTAGGAATGATTATATAGTTCATGATTGCATTGTGCTATTGGATAATTTTAGTTTTCATCCGTTACCTTTTGTTTTGGGCTGCATGACGCCATGACCCACCAAAAAGGCCCAATAACAAGTGTCGAAGAAGAAAACGTATAAAATAGGTGGACTCTTGCCCCTACCAAGGACACACGATCATGCCCTCCATCACATCTTTCATCGTTGGATCTAATCGTTAGATCACACCCTCCATCACATCTTTCACCATTAGATCTAGTCGTCGGACGACAACTTGCACAAAACGACGAGTCAAGTATTCAATTCATATTATATAAAGATTAGTTCACGTCATTTCAGGTATTCAATTCATTCTCTCTTTCAATGCGATGGATTAAAGGTGATGGAATAAAGCTTAGATGTGATGGATTAGACTTTCAATGCGATGGATATGGGGTGTACCTGCAAGGTTAGCACTTCAATGCCCAGGTCAGCGAATGTGCGAAAAGTTGTTTTAAAGAGAGAATGAATTGAATACCTGAAATGACGTGAACTCATCTTTATATAATATGAATTGAATACCTGACTCGTTGTTTTGTGCAAGTTGTCGTCCGACGACTAGAGAGGAGGCGCCACTCTGTGCAGCGCATGCATGGAAAATAGAGAGGAGGCGCCACATTGCATGGTCTGTCCTCCTATATAATATCATGCAGTGTGGCGCATGCATGCACAGTTATAGAGGAGGCGCCACCTTGTATGGCTTGACAATTGTATTTATTAATTTTTAGAAAAAATAAAAATAAAAGTAACTAAAAATAATTTATATTAACATTTTAAATTACACAATGCATGGATACATATTTTTTCAGACGTCCCCTCAACCTAAGCTGGTTCCAGTATGACATAAACGGTCCCGCCTTTGCCTCACCCCTTGCCCCACTCCTTTTTGTTGAATTCCCTGAGGTGTTTGGGGTCTGTTCTGACTCGCTTGATGATGAGATGCTTGATGTGATGGTCCTGGTACATCAGGATCATACATCTCATCGATCATTTTTCCTCACTATGACGTGCTTCCAAAGAGACCGATACCCATATTATTGAAGTTTGGTCTTGTTGGTTGGGATATGTGTGGGTGGGGTGATTGGTAGTATTGGGATGTCCAATTATTTTGGAAACGAAGTAACTGTTCTTGTAGTTTATGAAATCCGTATGATGGATGGATACTTCCATGGTGTGATGTTTGGCAGTATGTAGGTTGGGTGGTATGGTAGGAAGGAGATGTATCATATGTGTCTTGGATGTTGTGGTAGGATGTGGAGGGTGCATATTGTTGGTGGTGGATCGGGTCATGCTCTTGGTATTGTGTTTGTGTGTGTGGCATGAATTGATGACGGGTTTGGTTGGATGTGGTGGTGTATGATTGTTGGGTTTGAGTGGATTGACATTTTTGTTGGGTTTAGTATTAATGAGGGGTTGGATGTTGGGGTTGTTGTTGGGCGTATGATGCAGCTCTTTGGCGTGAGTCGATCAAATATATCTCATGAGAAATAAACAAATTTTTTGAAACTGGTGTGTACCATGTCAAATATTTAAGAGTTAGTTTTAAGTCATCTTGTGAGATCGACTCCCTTTGGACCAATTCACGTCGATGCCTCCATTGACGATATTGATTTCTAGCGAAGTCTATCAAATCATTAAACCCCCATTGGTCGTCAACTCTGAGTAGATGCCATTGTCCCAAACATGTAGGGGGTCTAGGATGCCCTATTTCATGCTGAACTGTAGCTTCACACGATCACTGTGGTGCAACTCCACAGTAGTGAACCTGATGAGCGTTGTTTTTGCTGTTCAAACTTCAACATCTGCTAGGTTATCTCATGGTCGAGATCCTTATACGCCCTCCATACTAACTGTAGAGGAATAAGAGTGTTAATCTAATATTGATATTGAACTTAATTAACCTATTGAAAATGTTGTATAAAATATGTAAGCTCAATACCTCTTCGGGTCCAACATGATCAATAAGATTTCGATACACTTCTATTGCGTTTATAGGGGATTTATTGTAATTCATCTCAGAAACAGACCACCTACATAGAAAAATGGGTAATAAATTAATACATGTTGGTTATAGTATATAGTATGTAAAACTTGCGTGTTTCGTAATCTTACTTTGTAGCAAAGGGGAAGACGAATGGCCTTGTGTTGCAGGGGGTGAGTGTCGGCATTCTCGACCAGCACCATGTCTGGAGCAAAAAGGCGCGGGAATAGAAAGAACAATTGTCTTTCGATGCGTTTTTATATAAGGAACTATACAGATGGGTCAAAACAGCAGAACCCTAACTATATGTGTTTATTTTATCAAAATGTCTTAACAAAGGTAAATATATGATACTACCAATATTACCTATTGTTTCAAGAAATAAAAAGTGACCAAATAATATCATTATATAACACTGAGCTTTCACAGTTTTTTCTTGCTCGATAGAGTTTTCGGTTATTACGAGACTACTATGATATTCTCTAAGAAGACGGATATTAATATCTTGGCCTCTATACCCTTGTTCAAATAAACAGGCTCCCAAAAGATCCTCGTATATGGTGTTGTCTTGGTTTACTCGGCCATTGACAGCCTTATCATCGATCGATAGACCGAATAACATGTACACGTCCTCTAGTGTGACGGTACATTCACCACATGGAAGATAAAAGGTGTGAGTTTCAGGTCTCCATCTTTCCACTAATGCAAGAATAATTTTATAGTCAACATGGTAATTGACTATGTTGAGTAACAAACCAAAACTGGCTTGTCGTAAGTACAGTTCAATTTGTACATTGTAAGGGACATACTCATGGACACGACAACGAAATCTTTTAACATCTTATTAAAAACATGAATTACATATAAGAAATATAAGATTTACGTATAAAACTTATAAGAACTACGAAAATCAAATGTATCGATAATTAACTGGTATTGAAGAAAATAAACTTACAAAAGTTTCAATGTTGTTGATAGTTCCTCTATGTTAATCACCCATGGTCAAGAGAGCCATTTTTTCTTGGTTACTCTTGTGTTCTTATTGATGTTTCAAGAAATAAATAATGTGTGGGTTATGATTGGGATGAACATATAGAGTGAATGTTATATGTATTTGTAAGAAAATGCGGAGGAACACTATGATTCACGTGAGAATGCTCTGCATGCAATTAACACATAGGCGCCACACTAGGTGGCACATCCTTTTGTTTTTTTCACTAAGGCGCCATTCAACATGGCTTGTTACTTTTTGCATGCATGTAAAACTGCAGTGTGGCAGTGATCAGATGGCATGCATGAAAGACTTTTCTTCACGTGACAAGCCACCCTAGGTGGCGCATGCTTATAAAAAGTAGAGGACAAGCCACCCTAGGTGGTGCATGTGTTGTAGTGTTAAAATACCACATGGAAATTTTAGTTGATTTCAGTATAGATCGAACTAATTCAGGGAGGTACATTATTTTATGTCGTCAAAAACCAATTTGCCCTTTTCGTTTAACTGCATCTTACAAGAAGAGAAGTGATCCACTCCACACTTGCATCACCATTGTTCCGACACAGGATCATCGGAAACTTAGTTCTTAACTAATATGTCAAGAATTCTCGCCTCTTATTAGCAAGGACCCATCATTAAAGGTGAGTACAATTATTTCTAATATCGTTACAAGATTCAATTATACTCCCTCTTACAGGAAGCATGGATGGCGAGGACTAAGGCAGTTGAACTTGTCTACGGTAATTAGGAGGAATCGTACAAAGAACTTCCAAGATTTTTGGTGACACTTAAATATTATGCCCCGAGAGCTGTTATAATTTTGGAGACACTCCCGACATTTACCCCAGACAGAACTCGTGTCAATGGAAATGGAATATTTCATCGATTATTCTGGGTGTATGAACCATGCATCAAAGGTTTTGCATTTTGCAAACCTACTATACAAATTGATGGAACTTGGTTATATGGAAAGTATAAAGGAACATTACTCATGGTTGTGGCACAAGATGGCAACATTAATGTTTTTATGATTTCCTTCGCTCTAGTTGAAGGTGAGACAGGTGGTGCATGGAATTTCTTTCTGAAGAATCTCTGATTACATGTTGCTCCTCAACCCAACCTTTGTTTGATTTCAGACAGACATCCATCGATTGTGAGTGCATACAATAACCCTGATAACAGTTGGAAGGATCCCCCTTAACACATGTCTATTGCATTCGACATATCACACAAAACTTCACGCTCCATATCAAAGACAATACACTTCAAAAGGAAGTTGTTAATGCATGACATGC